GGTGCATGATGAGTCATTTGTCATTGCCTGATTTTCTTTGGGGTGATGCTTTGAGGACTGTTGTCTATATTCTAAATCAGGTGCCTAGTAAATCAGTGTCGAAGACTCCTTATGAACTATTAACAGGAAGGAAGCCAAGTTTGAGACATTTTCATGTTTGGGGTTGTAAGGCCGAAGTCAAACATTACAATCCTCAACAGAAGAAACTTGATATGAAGACTATTAGTGGTTTTCTTCATCGGATATAGTGTTGGGTCTAGAGGTTGCAGATTTTATTGTCCTTCTCATTCTACACGAGTCATTCAATCTGATAGAGCAATTTTCTTTGAGGGTGATTTGGATAGTGGAGTCTCTACGCCACGACCAGTTACTCTTGAAGAAGATCGTACTTTTCTCCCTATACCAATCATTCCTTTCCATAATGTGGTTGTGATTCCAGTAATTCAAAATAATGATCAAGTTGTGTCACCACAAATAGATGAGCATGAACAAATTGATACCCTAGAGCCTATTGGTGTTGTTGAACCAAGTGAAATTACTGAAGTTGTTCCATTGAGACGTTCTTTGAGAGTTCGAAAGCCTACAATATCAAATGACTTTGTTGTGTATCCCCAAGAGCATGAGTTTGACATTCATGATGATGATGACCCTACCACTTTTAATGAAGCGATTTCTTGTTCTCATGCTTCTAATTGGCTGCATGCTATGCATGATGAATTAAATTCTATGTCTCTTAATGGTGTTTGGGATCTCACAGAGTAACCAGTTGGTTGCAAGGCCATTGGATGCAGATGGGTTTTCAAAACTAAACGTAATCCTGATGGTAAAATTGATAGATACAAAGCCAGACTAGTGGCAAAGGGCTATAGTCAAAGAGAAGGGATTGATTACAAAGAAACTTTCTCACCCGTCTCTACCAAAGATGCTTTTCGAGTTGTTATGGCTTTGGTTGCACACTTTAATTTGGAACTTCACCAGATGGATGTGAAGACAACTTTTCTGAATGGAGAACTTTTTGAAGATGTTTACATGATTCAACCTGAAGGTTTTATTGAAGCAGGAAAAGAGAAGTTAGTATGCAAACTGAAGAAATCCATATATGGATTAAAACAGGAATCTAGACAATGGTATTTGAAGTTTAACAAAGTTGTCACTTCTTTTGGTTTCAATGAAAATGCTTCAGATCAGTGCATTTATTTAAAGAACAGTGGGAGAGATTTTATAATCTTAGTGTTATATGTCGATGATATCCTTCTTGCTAGCACTAGTGTTAATCTTTTGAATGAGACAAGAACAATGTTAAGTAACCACTTTGATATGAAGGACCTAGGTGATGCTTCTGTTGTTTTAGGCATCCAAATTTTTCGTGATAGGTCACGTGGTGTTCTTGGTTTATCTCAAAAAGGATATATTGAGAGAATCCTTAAACGCTTTAATATGAAATCTTGCTCCCCGTGCGCTGTTCCTGTCCAAAAGGGTGATAAACTCTCTAAATCTGAATGTCCTCAAAATGATAAAGAAACAGCTGAAATGTAAAGAGTCTCATATGCTTCCGTTGTTGGCAGTTTGATGTATGCTCAAGTTTGTACTCGTCCCGATATTGCATATGCAGTTAATGTTTTAGGGAGATACTTGAGTAGTCCAGGATTGGGTCATCGGAAAGTCGTTAAAAAGGTCATGCGATATTTGCAGGGAACCAAGGATTACATGTTGACCTATAAGAAGTCTGATCAACTTCAGGTTATTGGTTATTCTGATTCTGATTTTGCAGGTTGCCCTGACGACTGAAAGTCTACTTCCAGCTTAATTTTTATGATGGCAGGAGGAGCTATTTCGTGGAAGAGTGTTAAACAGACTCTTACAGTTACCTCAACCATGGAGGCAGAATATGTAGGTTGCTATGAAGCTACTTGTCAAGCTATGTGGCTAAAGAACTTAATCTCTCGCTTCAAAGTTGTTGAAAGCATATCTAGGCCACTTGTGATATATTGCGACAATTCTGCTGCTGTATATTTCTCTCAGAACACTAAGAGCTCTTCTCGCTCAAAGCATTTTGATATTAAGTATCTATTTGTTAGAGAGAAAATTCTTGAATTTCAAACTCGAATTGAACATCTTGCCACTGAGAACATGTTGGTTGATCCACTGACCAAAGGCTTGACTGTTGGTGTTTTTCAAAGGCATGTAGCCAACATGGGTGTAGTTAAGTCATTTGATATTTTGGATTAGTGGGAGTCGCTATTATAACATCAATCCCTAAACGGCTCCAATCCTATTCGATTATGATATTAATCAGACAAGCGCTTACCAACATCAAATGAATTATGTTCCTGTTTACCGAATTAAGCAAACGGTTAAGAATATGACGAATTAACGAATTAAGCAAACGATAACACGCAATTAAATATAGGAACATGCATACAATCGAATTTAATCAATTCTATTCTATGAACAACAATTGAATTAAGCAAACAATTGCAATCAAATTAAGCAAATGACTTCATAGAAAAGGATTGAAAGGAATCAGATTTAAATTGATATTATAATAACCTCAAAGTGTTGAAACCGTACACAGCAGGATTTGCCCGGAGGTATTAGTTTTCCATGAGTTCTTCTCAAACCTCCCCAATTTTTCGTGAATAGTGAATAATGTGTACAGTAAACGAGGTTTCCCCTCAAAATAACAATAATGGATCCGGGTCATAACCCAACTGGGTCGAAAACATAACCCAGTCCCAAAACACGACCCAAAACTAAAATAGATTCCTAATGTTGTACTTCAACGAATATTCTGGGAAAATATGCTCTGAATCTGACTTTGACTCCAACACGAAAGTTGTAGCTCTCTGTCTTAGCTTTCCGGAGATTTTTAGAACGCCTCAAACGGATTCCCGGAACTCCAGTTATGATTGTTTCCGTGTAGACTGCTAAAGCTGAAAAATAAAGTGCAAAAATAAAATTAAACCAAAAATAAAATAAAATATAAAAACATAATAAAAAATAATAATAATCAAAATAAAGTAAAGAAATGCCTAAGTAAAAATATAGGAGAATGTGAATAAAGATGCACTGATCATAGTCTGATTGTTGTAATGAGATATGTATAAGATGACGTCAATTTAATAATCATATCTCTTATAGCATTTCAGATGCTTGGACCATTATTGGATTACATATTTCTACATTATATTATGTTAATTCATATTCATTATTGTTGTATGAAATGTGGGTATTTGAAATGTGTGATTTGTTTCCCTATCGGATGTTATTTATGCATTGTTAAATTTTGTGCCTTCTCACATTATTTTGATGATAAGTAATTGATATATTTGGTCATTATAATTGTGTTATTTTAATAATTAATTAAAGTCATCTAAGTGGGAGAATGTTAAATCTATAATGGATTTACTTTAATTAATTATTTTATTATATATATAATTATTATATCAATTAACATTTACTTAATTAAATGAATATTGTATTGCACTTAATTGTTGAAGGACCCGTAATGAGTTGGGTCATTCTTTTGGATAGCCCGCTGAGATGTCCCTTCCTTCATCTATATATATTTGACTATCCCATTAGGTCAGATAATTAAGCGTAACTGTTCCATCAGAAAGAGGGCAGTAGTATTCTCAGTTTACACTCAGGCAAATGGATTCAACCATGACAGATACATGTTTATTGCATTATTGATATTATAATATGTCGTACAATCATATCTATAATTAGGCTATACAATTATCTATTCCGTACTAGTTCTAGCAATAAAGCTAAGAACAATCATATCTATTGATATTATAATATGTCGTACAATCATATCTATTGATATTATAATATGTCGTACAATCATATCTATAATTAGGTTTAAAGATTTACTACAAATCATAACTCTATATTATCTATTCCGTACTAGTTCTAGCAATAAAGCTAAGAACATTTAGAGTCATTTTTGTGTAGGAAGGTTATAAGTGGTGTAATCATTTTGTGATGCAAATGTATCAATTTCTAATAATTTTTTACGTATTATTTTATTAAACTTGTAAGGCTACTAAATATATAGATGAAGTTGGATTTTTTATACAAATTTATACTACAATTGAATAGTTTTTGAATTAGACTTCTAAATATATCTCTTGAAATTTGCGTACTTTTTGAATTAATATATTTTTGAAACAAAAATAAATTGCAATTCGATAACTTTTATTTTATTTTAATATTTTTAAAAAAGATATTAATTTAAAATATCAAATATATATAAAAAAATAGACTTAAAAAGGGTGTTTAAATCCGTGAAACAAGTGAGCTGAAACTAACGAAATGTTCATGAACTTATAACGAGTGGAGTTTGAGTTTAAAAAAAGTGTATGTTAAATTCGAATCGAGATTTGAGCTGAACCAATTTTTAACTAGTCGAGTTTAAACTTTAAAAAATTCGTGTTGAACTCGAAACAAAATTTAAGCTGAACCAATTATTAACAAATCGAGCCGAACTGAGACGAGTTCGACTCGACTCATTTCCAACCCTTCTTAAATAATATATTTAGAATTAGAGAAGTTATATAATAAGTGAAAATATGACATTGACACCAAACTACATACACAACTTCTAAGAAACTACTAAAAATATTATTATCTCATTCTTCATAGACCCTTAACCTACCAAAATATAAAATAAAGACAGAAAGACATAATCAAATCAGAAACAAACAAGAAAAAGTCAGGCCAACATGACCATATATGCTTGAATTAACAAAACAAGAAACTTCCTTTGATATTGTCACGAAAAAACCAAACCTACTTCTATTATTATTTAACTTGTGTCATGCACCTTCCTTCACTCTTCAAAATTGTCCCTATATAACCAAACTCTTTAGCCATTACATTTTTCATCTCCATAGACTAAATACCAACATAACAAAGTTTCAATCTTTGTACAAAAGGGTCATTGAATTCTACATATTCATCTATTTTTTTTACCAAATATGCAAACATCTAACATGGTTTTTCGCCAAATTGAATATCTTATTGCAGAAGAAAAAGCATCACAGAATGATGATATTGATATCAACTCAACTTCAACTTCAACTTCGACTTTATTCGGTTTGCTAGATTTTTTCCTATACTCAACATTCATCGTTGGAGTACAAAAGTTCTTCTCGAGTTTCTTGAGTTTGTCGAGTTTTCGGCTTTTTTTTCTTTTCTGCAAACTTTGTTCCGGTGACTCGGATGTAAAGGGAGAGAAGCAGATATCAGAAGGTGAATCGAGTGTTAGCAGAGACAGTGTGGAGATTAAGAGGGATGAAGTTGAGACGGTGATGGCGAAAATGGGAATTTTTTGCAGTGAAGAAAGTGAGGAACTTGAAGAGAAATATGGTCGTAAGGAACTTTCTGAATTGTTTGAAGAGAATGAGCCAAGTTTTGAGGAAGTGAAGATGGCTTTTGATGTTTTTGATGAGAACAGAGATGGATTCATCGATGCAATGGAGTTGAAAAGAGTTATGTGTATTTTGGGATTTAAGGAAGGTTCAGAAGTTGAGAATTGTCACAAGATGATTAAGAATTTTGATGAGAGTCAAGATGGAAGAATTGATTTTATTGAATTTGTAAAGATTATGGAAAACAGATTATGTTGATTCTTTCTGTTCCTTTGTGTGAGGAATTTTATCATATATGAACTTATTTTGACTTATTCTTTTATTTCTTTTCTTCTACATAACTTTATCATCAAAAATCAAAAGTAGAAATGTAGAAAAAAAAACCACCAAACTAAACTAATTAAAATAGCCGAACCATTATATTTTGATGAGAGTCAAGATGGAAGAATTGATTTTATTGAATTTGTAAAGATTATGGAAAACAGATTATGTTGATTCTTTCTGTTCCTTTGTGTGAGGAATTTTATCATATATGAACTTATTTTGACTTATTCTTTTATTTCTTTTCTTCTACATAACTTTATCATCAAAAATCAAAAGTAGAAATGTAGAAAAAAAAACCACCAAACTAAACTAATTAAAATAGCCGAACCATTATATTTGTGTAGTGAACCAAACCTATGTTGCACAAATAGTTCTAGAACCGAACCAAATGATAAATAAACCGAAGCGAACCGGAACTAAAAAAGAAAAATGTTTAAAACAATTTTTAAAAAATTTATTAAAAAGATTTGAAAAGAAGTTTAACGGTTTTGTCCTTTCATAAATGGATTGATTCGAGAGAAATTGTTTGTCTTCTAACAGTTTGGTACGGTTTGGAATTCCGAACAGGTATACCAAATCAATAATTCTTGTTCGGTTTGGTTCTTGATATATTGAAACGGTTCAGTTCGGTTCGGTTCAGATGACCTTTTACTATGGTTCGGTTTGGTTTTCTGACTGAATTTTACGATGAACACCCCTAGATTCAAAACCAGAATCAAACAACAAAAAACTACAAATTGAAATTAAAAACATGATAAATTCAGCATAAATGAGTTACATTATGAAACAAATTGTTAAATAAGAGACTGAAACAAATTGTTAAATAAGAGACTGAAACAAATCCACATTAACAGAAAGAGACAAAAAGAATAATAACAGAACAAATTACAAACATTTGCTCCATATAAAACAGGGTAACACAATGCTACAAATAACAAAAGCATCTTACTTGCTTTAACTCGTATAGTAGACCTTTAGCAATCATTTCACGACGAAGTTTCTTTGTCGTGTCATTGACATCTTTTTCAAAGAGAGCGCGAATGATTGTTTCATAAGTTATCGCAATAGGATTGGAACCTTCATTGAAGGACAATGCAACACAAGATTGTTGGCTCCTGCATGGGATTCCACCCTCACTCCTTTGCTGGCAGCACCTCGAGATAGTTCCTTGCCCTTATTAGACCTGTTCATTTCACCTTCTTCATTTCCCGTTTTCTTGCTCTTCTTGATTGAATTCTCTTCCTTTGAAATAGGCGTCTTCTTAAATTCGAGAAGCAATACTTTGATTTCATTCTTCATTTCGTCCATTCTCTTCTTCAGCCGCACCATACCTGTCTTGAATCCTTGCATCAAACTGTCTTGCTCGCTGGCCCATTGCTACCAGTGGTCGGCACAAGTACATGTCCCATCACAAAAATGATGGAACCGGCTAGCATCTCTAACAATTATCAACCTGTGTGTGATCTTTGATATTAGTTTTACAGCAGTGTGACAATCCTCACATATCCGAAGGTTTTTAATTACACGAATGGGTGCCGGAGAAGGTATCTTCATGAGACCATACGCTATTGCCAGCTTCTCACTGTGATAATTAAGATAACTTTCCTTCTGTTCATCTTCCACATCATGCAGTACGGCTTCAATATTCGGCACATATCCTACTTGCTTAATCATTTCTAGCAATAGTTGAACCTTTTCGTAAATCTGAATACACTCTGGATGATTGCTTCCATCTGAAGAAAAGACGTGGACGATATTTCTTATCTCAAGCCAACTCACTCCAGGTTCCTTCTTAACGTTTATTTCCCTCATCATTTTCCTAATAGTCGTGACACCGTCCCAGCTACGTGCCTTTGCATACATATTCGATAGCAATGTATATGTCCCCATATCTCGAGGGTTCATATGTAAGATAGTTTCTGCAATTCGCTTCCCCAAGCTATAATTTCGATGAACATTGCATGCATTAAGCAAAATTCGCCAGGCAACAACATCCCATTTCACATGTGTTGTTGTCTTCATGAAATTCTCAGCATCTTCAAGCAGACCGGCTCGGCAAAGAACCGCAACCTGACAAGTGTAGTGCTCCAATCCTGGCTCAATCTTAAAATGTTTCATTAACTGATTCAAATAGTAAAACCCTTCTTTTACGAGAGACAAATGAGCACAAGCGGATAGAACACCGACAAAAGTTACATAGTTTGGACATTCTCCGGTAGACACCATGTCTTGAAACACTAGTAAAGCCTGTTTACCGAGTCCATGTTGGGAATATCCACATATCATAGCATTCCAAGTGATAATATCTCGACACGGCATATCAAAGAACACATCATACGAAGAATCAATACTTCCACTCTTAGAATACATATTTATCAAAGCGTTTCCAACAATAACACGATTCTTAAAACCTAACTTCTCAATACGAGCATGAAATAGATCGCCGTGTCTGAGTGCTGCTATACCTGCACAAGCATTAAGCAAAACTGCAAAAGTGAACTCGTTGGCCATAGTACCTTCTCGATCCATACTCGTAAGCAGATCCAAACTCTCCTCAAAATCTCCATTCTGTAAATAAGCAGTCATGAGGGATGTCCATACCACCACATTCCGATTTTTCAAACCCTCAAAAACGTTCCTCGCAACCAAAACCTCGCCACATTTTCCATACATGTCTACCAACATACTACCAACAAAAACATCAAACACTAAACCACCTTTCAACAACTGTGCATGAACTTGCAAACCCAATTGCAAATCTCTAATCTGACCACAAAGTCCCATGACACTAACATAAGTAACGTTATCCCAAACCACTCCTTCACTCACCATCCTCCCCAAAACACCCACAGCCTCACCCCAACGCCAAGACTCCGCAAGCGCATTCAACACGGAGTTATAACAAAAAGCATCATTAATATTACTACCACCATGTTCACTATCCAAAACCTGCAATGCTAAATCAACATGAAAACACTTCGAGTACATATGAACAAGAGCACTTCTCACATATTGATGAAAAATCAAACCAAACTTGAACAAAAACCCATGACATTGCATCCCTTCGAAAACTCTTCCACTATGAGCACAAGCAGAAAGAACAGTCGAAAACACATACTCATTTGGTAAGACTAAAACATCATTTTGAAACAACGAAACCATTTTTTTGAAGAGTGAAATAACTTCAAAATGCTCCCCATTATGCAAATACCCACCCATCAAAGCATTATAAGAAACAACGTTTCTAATGGGCATTTCATCGAACAGGTAACGTGCGAAACGGAGTTTAGAGCATTTGACGTAGAGATTGATTAGGGAGTTGGTTTGAATAATGTGGGAGTGGTGGTTTGAAGATTGGTGGCGAATGAGCAACTGAGTGTGGATGGTTTTGCCAAAGTTTAGATTTTTAGTATCGGCGGAGAGTTTTAAGAGCTTTACAAGGTCTTCGAGTGATGGAAGATACCTTGAATAGGAAGCTACCATGGTGTTATTTTTGGACAAAGAACATGTTGGGATAAATGTGAAATTCAAAAAAATTGAGCATTCAAAAAAATTGGGATAGATTTGAATTTCAAAGTCGATGTCAGTGTGTTTTTGATGAAAAAAATTCAATGAGTTATCTTATTTTTACATTTTGAAATCAATGTTTTTGATCAATTAGATGGTTACTATAATTTAGATATATGGTTAATATAATTCAAAGAGTTTATAAAATGGTTAATGGATATGGTAATGCGTTTTAATTTATTAATCATCTATTAAACTGAATTAAATAATCATATTTGGAGAGTTAATGAATTCACGTATGCTTTAGCTGGTTATTATCTTTACAAGCTTATCATTGTAATGTTACAATATTGTATAAAGATGATAAAAGACTATTCACATACAATTTTCTCGTGTATCTTGTTTAATATCTTACTTTCAACATAGTTGAAAGTTACAGGTATGCTTTTTGGCTCAATCATGTTCAATGTCATATTAGAAATAATATTTTCTCTTTAAAACTCTGATGATAGACAATCGATTGACCAACTAACTTATAACTTAATTAAGAGTAACAAATGGGCATGCTCGTCCCTTTTAGACATGTCCTACAAAAATCCGCACAAAATAAAACGAGAGTGGGCGCGGAGAAACATTTTGTAGTATGCGAGTTTAAAATCTTGACTCACCCAATAAAAATATAAAGGCAGGGCGGGTCAGCCCGCTGACACTACACATTTTAAGCCTAAAAAGTACAAAAATTTATGTTAATATCTCCGTTCACAAAAAATTAGATTGGTAATATTAGAGGATGCAGGGCTAAAACTATGGTCTGTTATGCGAAAAAGTGCAAGCAAAACTGACATACACGACGCGCCGACCCCGTTTTGCCATCCTTAGACATAATACATGATTATGTATACCGAAAATCATATTAAATGTTCAAGTATTATACTATTTGTGGTACCCACACTACTTAATATTACATTTGTATTTTCTTTTTCTGGGGTCATCGCATTTCAACTTTCAAATATGTTCAATGATTCAATATGAAAAATTGTTAAATTAGGTCTGGACATTCTTATCTGTTGGGGGGTTTCATTAGGGAGCATTGAACATTGTAGGATTTCCTTTCTAGAGCAACGCCTTTGTGAAAGACACGCCACATATTCACCCCAAACCTTAAGGTGATAGGTGTATGAGTCTATCCACAATGTTTCCCCTTAATCAGAAGCTTTTTTCATCCGCGTACACTTGTACCGTCATTGACACTCTTCAACGGGACACTCACAATGTTTCCCCTTAATCAGAAGCTTTTTTCATCCGCGTACACTTGTACCGTCATTGACACTCTTCAACGGGACACTTCCTAACCACCATCAGTGGGGAGTACTTTCGGTACAAGTGAACTTGTCCTTCACTGGGACACTCACAATGTTTCCCCTTAATTAGAAGCTTTTTTCATCCGCGTACACTTGTACCGTCATTGACACTCTTCAACGGGACACTTCCTAACCACCATCAGTGGGGAGTACTTTCGGTACAAGTGAACTTGTCCTTCACTCGAACCAGACTCGTGATACCATTTATTGGGAGACTTTTTTCAACTAGGGAGCGTTGAACATTGTAGGACTTTCTTTTTAGAGCAACACCTTTGTGAGAGACACGCCACATATTCATCCAAAACCTTAAGGTGATAAGTATATGACTTCTCCCACTTATAAACGCTAAAGTCTCCACATTTCTAACCAATGCGGGATATTACCCATACTACTCACACTTTCTATATTCAACATTCCCCCTCAAGTGTGATTCTACCCACAATGTTCCCCCTTAAGCAGAAGCTCTTTTCATCCACATACACTTGTACCGCCGTTGACACTTTTCAACGGGACACCTCTTAACCACCACCTGTGGAGAGTACTTTCGATACAAGTGAGTCAGTCTTTCACTCGAACCAAGCTCATGATACTATTTGTTGGGAGAGATTTTTTAACTATGGAGCATTGAACATTGTGGGACTTTCTTTCTAGAGCAACACCTTTGTGAGAGACAGACCACATATTCACCCAAAACCTTAAGGTGATAGGTGTATGGGTTCCCCACTTATAAACGCTCAAGTCTCCACATTTCTAGCCAACTGGGACTATTACTCATACTACTCACACTTGTTATACTCAACATTATCGAGATGTCGGATTCTGGTTCTAATAAAAGGTGTATACAATACCTTGTTAAGGATGTTATGAGTCACCATTCCTTGACACATTAATTTTGTTGATAGTATCATAGTGCACCATACATATAACTAATGAAAAAGGTGTGACAATTTCAATCAACATTCAATGAATTCAGAATCATTGAAGTATATGTTCACGTAACTTGACACCTTCTGTTTTGACCCATTAAGTATATGTTCACGTAAAGTAAACTCATATATATTGGTAAATTCTTTTTCGACATCAAAATGTGCAATACTTGGAGATGTTTCAAGTCACCATTCTTTGATACACTAACTTTGTTGACATTATCAGATTGCGCCGTACTTACAACCTATAAAAAAAGTAAAATGATTTCAATCAACATTCAAAGAATTCAAAATTCAATCTTTTGACCAATCCTTCAACGATTCAGACTGTATTCATATTACAAAAAAATATATTATTTCAATGATCATCAATGATTGACATGTACATTACATTTAATTTCAGACGATTTTGCATCTTTTGATATTAAAATACAACAAAATCATGTTTGCAAGTGAAAAGCTTAAATAAAAATGCAAGACATTTTTTTTGGGAAGGATTTAAGAAAATACTCCCTCACTTTCTTTTTAAGTGTTAATTTTTTTATTTTTTACCCATATAAAAGAAGTTAATTAATATTGTTACTTTTTATACAATAATTTTTTTTTATCTATAATACTCCTAATTATTTATTACATTCATTTTACTTTTTCTTTCTCTATCTAAAAGTAATTTTAACAAAAATACATTTAATATTACTTTAAATTTTATAAGTGACAATTAAAAATAAACAAAAAGAAAATATCTTTAAAATGACACATAAAAAGAAACGGAGGAATTACGTGTTATGTTCATGAATGTAAGAATTTAATGTAGGATTATGAATAAATTGTGAGTGTTTAAATTTTAAAATTGTGTGAAAAATTCAATTGTCGAATGGTGTATTCCAATTTTAAAATTTAATCATTCAAAATTATAAGAGGTTTTGTAAAAAAAAACAAGAACATTATTGTATAATCATGTGTAATTTATTTCTTTCATATAAAATTAATTAAATTTTTTAGTTCATATTAAATATCTAAAATATCTTCTCATTTGAATTAGAATGAGCATTTACTTGCATTGAACGTGTTTATGATAAAAAAGAATTGTTAACATGTGATCCATATGGATTTCAATTTTCTGAATAATGCTAAAGAGAATTTTCAAATTACTTAAATAAATAATTTTGAACAAAGAAAAAAACAATATTTGTTAAAGAAAATACATTTTAATAATTAAAAGCACTAATAAAACAACAAAAATTTACTATTCATCACCAAAACTTCAACCTTCAAAAATAAAACCAACAAGTCACAGCGGCACTGAACTTCACCGGCCGGAAAAAACCGAACTCAGTCGTCGGCCGCCGCCACCAGGTATTTCTCTACTTTTTCCTTTGCCGAAATTTTCCTTCTCCTCTCCTATAGCGTACGAAGATGCGATTCCGTCTCGATTTTCAGCCGCGGCAATACGAAACTCTTCAGAGAATCACGTCGTAGCAGATATCCACTCCGATTGGGTACTTCATATTTTCATTGACAAATTCTTCTTTATTAATGTTTTTCATTGAATTGCAGAAAAAGTACTCTGTATGATAATGACAATGTTGGGGAAAGCAAGAGAAGGAGTGGCTCCATTGATGAAAGTTGTTAGGTTAAAAGGAATGTGTATTTTGGAGCAATTGCATTTAGAAGAACGGTTGCTTCGGAGGAGTTCGGATAATTGGTGTCTTATTAATGATGGAACTACTTCCCCTGCCATTGTGATGGGCTTGTCTGGGTAAACTTCCTCTTAATCTCTTCAATGTTGTTATTCTGCTTTACAATCACAATCACAATTCATTCTAGTTTTGATTTTACTAATGTTCACTTTTCACTTGTTTTTCTTCCAATTTATTTAGTATTATTCCATGAAACCTATGAATCTATGAAACATACACAATGTACAACACTAGTAAAATCAAGAAATTGAAAACTTGAATGCTACCACATGTGTTGTGTCGGTGTTGGACACTAGCAAGTGTTAGATCATGCATCAATTGTGATTGAGTCTAACTCAATCTTACAAAACTGACTTGTAAGGTGAAGATTGCCTTTGACATAAAAATATTTTCTAGTTGTATCTCATCTGTTGTAGACTCTTAACACACCCTTGACGCCCAACCCTATTGGGCGTATGAATATAAATGGTGGGTGGTCCGATAGCGGAAACTTGATAGTAGGTGGTTCGATGGATATTTGATAGGCTCGGATACCATGTTAGATGAATTTGAATCTCATTCCAAAAGCTATTGCAGTCCTTATTCCGGCTCTGGTATCATTTTAAAATCGTGGTTGAACCTAACTCAATTTTATAGAATTGACTTGTAAGGTGATGATTGTCCTCAGTTACAAACACATTTTCCAACCATGTCTCATCTAATGTGGACTCTTAACACACCCTTCACATCCAACACCATTGGACTTGATGCATGGATATAAATGGTAGATGGTCCGATAGTGGAAATCTCATAGCAAGTGATCCAATGGATCTTTGATAGGCTCCGATACCATGTTAAAATCTCATTCCAAAAGCTATTGCAATCCTTATCTGACTCTGATACCATTTTAAAATTGTGGTTAAGCCTAACTCAAATCTATAGAAATGACTTGTATGGTGAGGATTGCCCTCAATTATAAACATATTTTCTAGCTATATTTCATTCGATTTAGGACTCTTAACTTCAATTTGAAATGTCGGTCATACAAAGCATGGAATAGTCCTCCTATTTATTACTTCAGAAACAAGTGTTACATGAAGTCTAAAAATCTGGTGCACATGTGATGTGATAACTGAAAAGCATGAAGTGTTGATTTCTGTCTTATAGTAGTATGATATTTGTCCTGATTTTGTACTATATTTTACTGTTGATTAAACTTAAAATTGGGTGCTTAAATCACTAACGAGAACCAAGTTCATGGAAGTTGTGTTTTATTTTGGGGAATGCCCGAATGTTTTGCTTGCTTTGTACCTATGAAACACAGACACCCGACAGAACACTGTTAGTTACATGTAGTCACCGATTATAATTTAAAACAATGGAAGTGATTGAATATAATCACATGTGTAAGTATCATATTTGTCTGAAACACGCCTTGAACTTGAACTGATTTTGTACCATATTGCTGTTTATTAAACTTTAAATGGGCGCTTAAACCACTAATGAGAACTGAGTTCATGGAAGCTGTGTTTTATTTTGGGGAATGCCCAAGTGTTTCATTTGCTTCTGCCTATAAACACAGACATACGACACAACACCGATACTAACATGTAGCCATCGATTTCAATTTAAAACAATGGAAGTGATTGAATATAACTACATCTGTAGCGTTGTACGTGTCTCGGACACGCCTTAAACTTTAAATGTTTGTGAGAAGAAATGCCTAATGTGAATGTGGAATATTTTACGTAGGAAACTTTCAGAACTTGTTGAAGCCAAATCTGTGTTGCGAGATCATATACCTATCATCAGAAGGTTTACCGGGGGAGGAACTGTTATTGTTGACAACGACACTATATTCGTTACACTGATATGCAATAAAGACGCCGTTCCAAATGTTCAACCCTTTCCCCGTCCCATTATGTCGTGGAGTGGTCTACTGTACGATAAAGTTTTTGCAGGGTTTGCCGATTTCCATCTCCGTGAAAATGGTACATTAACAATGTTTCTAGAACCATTCATTTTTTGTATGTTAAGTCAACACATAAAATTTATAGTGCAGAGTTGCGGTTAATTCAACAGTTCATTTAAAATCTGTTTAAATTTCATTATGTTTAATGAATTTTACAATGAATTTGTGATCAAGTTATTTTTTCCTGTGCTCAAAGATTATGCGTTTGGTGATCGCAAGTTTGGTGGAAACGCTCAATCTATAACCAAGAACCGTTGGATACACCACACGTCTTTTCTATGGGATTATGAAGTCAAGAACATGTCTTATCTCAAGTTACCCGCAAAGGCTCCCAAGTATCGACTAGTAAGTTTATATTTAGATTGTTTTTCACTACATTCGAGTTATAATTCGTTAATATACTATATGCTTCACTTGTTCATTAATCAATGCTCACATTTGATTGCTACGATGCAGACAAGAGATCACACGGATTTCATTTGTCGAATGAAGGAGCATATGCCAAGATCAGAATTTATAGAGAGAACTATAAAGGCAGTCGGAGACGAGTTTTCTGTGAGTCCCGTTAGCTTGGAGTCCATAAACATTGATTCTGTTTCTGAATATGTTCATACTACTAAACTACTAACAGAGCACGAAATTCGCGAAGCTTCCATTCTTCAAACTTGAAAACATAGTTACAAAAAGAGTAACTATAATTTATTAGTTTCAATGCAATGTTTTGAATTGTTGTCTAATCAATTTTTTCTGACCAAATTTTGTTGCTCTTTCTCTTCTTTCTTCTGGTACAATATTTCAAATGTATTTGCCAATAAATATTGGCTATTTTCATTCTGATTTTTCAACTATTATCTTGTTCTTATTTAGATGACAATTTTTCTGTATAATTTGATTTGTTGTAATATCATTATATTTATCTTGCTAATATATTGTTAAGTTAAAGGTTGATTTCCTTATATTCTACAACTTCTTTATTGATGAGCTGATAAAACAGTTGTTTGAAAGTGACATGAAGAATACAAATTAATATAGCCAAAGTATTACAAAAAAATTCATCTTATTAGTTTTAATTAACAATTACATATAATCTTTTAAATGTCTAGAACATTCCACAGCCTCAAACATATCATGCTATACAGCAAATATTTCTAACTTTGATCAAACACTAAAATCTAACTATAAAGATTGGACCATCAATAACATGAGGTGAGGTAGATCTTTGAGCTTCAAATAATTTGATTTTAGTTTTGTTTACAAATTTGGTAGTATTTTCTATAGTCATCTGCATGGATTAATCATTAGAATAAGAGAAGTTTACAATGTGCGAATCAGATAAATTTACAATGTTTTCTCTCTAACAAATTTAACTTTGCTACATGTTTTTCTGCTATATGTTTATTGCTATACTCAAATTTAAAACCTCTAATTAAATTAAAAGAAATTTGTACTATTTCATTCAAATGCTCTTGAATAAAGTTCGATCTTTAAACTGAAGTGTATAGTGTATGCAATTACGCACGAAGAATACCTCATTTATCAAATCCTAAATCAACTACTATGTTATGTGTCTTAATTACAATTATTCCAAGTTTTTTTTTTTAAAACAGAGAATAATTTTATGTTCACTAGAGAACAAACCAACCAAATAAATCACTAATAGTTGTCCACTACATTTTTAGGAATGCAAGTTAGGCACCTCTTTTTTATCACACAATTAAAGCATGATCTTTCACATTCATTCACCAATGCTTAAAGTACAAAGAGCACATTCAACAATCTCTTTAAGATTAATCTTTCTCAACATGGCAAGTATCTCATTTGTTGAGGCACAGCATAAATAAAGCCAGCACATCATCCACAAATGCTTGCCATATAAATAAAAATCAAAATATATAAATAAATTGGACTAAACCATCTTCTATCTAGCCCAACTCTAATAAATCCATTTACACTACTCAACTAAAAAAAACTTAACCCTTTTAATTTTTAAATGTAGTAATAATCTTGAAAATTGAGACACTATTATTCTTATTATTACTAAATATTTTAAAAGTCGAACCAGCGAAATCTATAAATTTGGTTCAATAATATTAAACCGTTCGTGTCAGAATAAATTCTAAATCGAACTGTTTAAATAATTAAACCTTAGATAACGTCGGTTGATTCGATTTTTAGAATATCGATTAAAATGTTACTTAATAGTTGAACTGTCTTCCAGTGTAGGTTTGACCAAAAGACCAACTAGCTGGAGCAGCATTGAATGAAACCACACTATGACCATTACTTGTGGTGACAACAAATGAAAGACTTTGTCCATTAAGGTAAGAGTTGCTTTGCCAATTTTGCCCCCAATTTCTTGACATGGCTTGCCATCTTGTTCTTGAACCTTTTATGGCCACAGAATGTACATCACCAGCTCCTCCAACATTTGTCACTAGTACTAAATTGAAGTAAGAATGTCCGTTGATTGTGAATCTTATTCCTCCTCTTCTTCTGCATCTTACCCTTCAAAATCCAAAAACAAAAGTAAAATCATTATTTTCATACCCTTTAAGTTTTTGAAGTTTATCACTATTCTACTGATATAATCACAGTTTAATCGTGACAAATCTATTATGAGTTTCTATTTTAGCTTTAGCTTAACTGTTATAACAAAATATTTAGTGTTGTGTTGTAGTCTACTTTACGCACCCTTAAAGACGGTTCCATTTTCAAGTAGGGTTGTTCGTGATACAATTCAGTTAGAAAATCGAACTGAACCAAATCAAACTATAGTAAAAAATCATCTGAATTGAACTGAACTGTTTTAATTTATCCAAAACCAAACTAAATCAAAATTATTAATTCGGTATATCGGTTCAGAATTCTAAATCGTATCAAATCATTAGGAGACAGTTTTTTACAAACCAAATCATTTATTAAAAAACCGAATCATATATTTTTTCATTTTTTTTATTAAAAATTTTAAATCATTTTCTATTTTAAGTTTCAGTTTCGGTTTGTTTTATTTGTCATTTGGTTCCGTTCTAATACTGATTATACAACATAGGTGAGTTTACTGACCAAACATAATGATTAGGTTATTTTAATTCGACGATTTGATTCGATTTTTGAACGGTCCTAATAACAAGTGTGTCTGATTTGTTATCAAAACTAACAATGAACACTAAAAGTAGTAGAAAAAATGAAAAAATGAAGTTACCTTCTATAAGCAACAGGCACAATCCCAGCTTTATATTGAGCAATGTGTTGAAAAATAGGTTGAGAAAGATCAAAATGGTGATTTGGAGGGTCACACCAACCACCAGGTGGACAAAAATTGGTGGCAGTAACTATAATGGATCCAGGAGTACACCATTGTGGATCATTCACACATTTAATCTCATAACATGCACCACAACTCAATCCATTGTTGAATAATGCTGTGCTTAATGCTGCTGTATTTGTTCCATAACCTTGACTATATAAATTTCCATATCCACAAGCTCCACCTATACAAATATGTAAAAAAAAACCTAATTAGAATATTTGTAGGGTTTATAAAAAAAATTGAGGTGCTAAATTTCATGCTTTCATGTTCTGAACATATTAATGATCGTTTGATTGAGATCAGACTCTGGTGTATATATATAGTTCAAACTCGATAATTTTAAAAATTTTTATAGAAAAATGAAAATATGTTCGCTTTTTTAACTGTCATTGATATCCTGACTAACGTGAATATGTCATGAATTCATTGAATTGTCGGTTAGCATATATACATACATACAGACATACATACCCATTGTTCCGGAAGCATCGCTTCCGCCGTAGAAAGTAGCATGAGCATTAATCCAACTAGCATGACCACCATGGGCATATACATGTGAAACCAAGTGGAAAACAGCAAGGAGAAGAAATCCAAGAAGAGACATTTTTCCTACATAGAAGAAGCAAAGAGAAGTTAATATAGAAGTGAAAGAAAAGAGAGAGAGAGAAAGGGAAGAGAAGTAGTTAGAAGAAGATGAACCTTGAAAGGTGTTGTTTGTGGAAATGGAAAAGGAGTTGGAAAGGAATAAATAGAGGGCAGTTATGATCTATTCTGACAGACAAGCTGACACACTTGAGCTGTTGGGACCATTCAAATGCTCAAAATTGTACTCTAAAGAGTTTATTTTTTTAACATAAAGTTTCTACGTTTATTTGTATATGGTGAAAATTTTGGATCTCAATTTTCTGTTGTTGGGATTACAAACAGTTGCTGATTAGTTTTATCATAGGATTCCAATGCGGCTGCTTGGACACCACACCGACATTATTATCAAGATTTTAAATATCGGTTGCAATTGCATATACATATGATAATTAGGGCTGGAAATAAGTTGAGTCGAGTCGAACTCACCTCAGCTCGGCTCGACTCATTAAAAATTGTTCGAGTTCAAGTTTGACACGAACTTTCTTTTAAATTCAAACTCGACTTGTTATAAGTTCACGAACAGTTCGGTTCAACTAGTTAGGTTCATCTCATTAGATTTAGCTTACATGATTCACGGATTTAAAAATTATTTTTTTATATATATATATTTTTAAGAGATATATATTTTTAAATATATATTTGATATTTTAAATAAATATATATTTTTAAAATAAAATATTAAAATAAAATAAAAGTTATCATATTGAAATTTAATTTTATCTTCGAAATCTACTAATTCAAAACCTACACAACTTTTAAGAGATACATTTGAGAGTCTAATTCAAAAACTACTAAATTGAAGATTGAATTTATCTAAGATTTGGAGTAAATATTTAAACCTAATCTTAAAGATAGTATAATTCTTCTCATATGTAATCGAGTTGACTCATGAACCTAACGAGTCGAACTGTGTATAGTTCAAGTTCAGCTCATTTAGTTAACGAACTTAATTTTTCGCTCATACTCAACTCATTTGGTTCATGAACCTAGTTCAACGATTTAATTGTCGAATCGAATTCCGAATTATTTTCGAGTTGGTTCAGTTCATTGTCAGCCCTAGTTGCAATAGTAATTGTGATTGTCGCAGCGTGAATTTCATCAAAATTTCACACCGATGTTATCATAAAAATATTATATTTTATTAAATTAATTTTATTAAAATATTAAAAATAACATATAAAATAAAAATTAAAATAGGTAATCATTGCTATATTAAAAAATAAAAATATAATCATTTTATAATAAAATTTATTTATTAAAAAGATAGGCATTTTAATTAGACTATGAAAGCATTGAGATTAGGAAACCCTTAGACATGTCCACATGCTACTAAAAAAACAACACAAAGACAAAAAGTTGTATGGTAAAATCTATTAAACATCTTATTACTAAGATTGCATAAGAAAATAATATGTAATTCAATAATATTCTCTTGAATCAAAGTATGTACTTAAACAAACCCATGATAAAAAATGTCAACCTCATGAAGTATTTATTTATTAGATAAAAACAAAAAAAAAGATAACGTTCTTGTTGTGAATGACATTTATACATTGGATACTAAAGTATTGCAATCACAAAAAACAGTATCTTTCATTTTGTTTCATATATCCTTAATATATGATATCTGAAATTTGAATATTTTGTTGTTTGGATTCAATTATTTATTTAACATGAAGTGAAGTATGGTAAATAATTTATGAAGTACTAGGGCCATATTCCTTCGTACGTGTACTGTATTTACTGTTGCTGGATTCCTTCGTAAATAATCATAGTACAATTAATACATGGAATTTATATCATTATAATTAGCTTCTTAATTAATATTTTTATTTTTATTTTATGATCAAAACAAACTTAATTAATATCATTAATCAAGAAATGTCCAAGGAGGAACAATATTTAAAAAAATATCATATGTCTACAAATAAAACCTATAATATGTGTGGATTAGATTGTTAATGGATATCAATGAATAAATTAAATAGATATTTAATCATCTATTTTTTTAACATACATGAATACGGATTATATACATACTTGTGGATATTGATATCCGTTAGTAATTAGTAAAAAAATTTAAATATTGATTTGTTTAATTTAAAATTATTATTATTATTATTATTATTATTATTATTATTATTATTATTATTATTATTATTATGTGAAATATTATAAAAACTATTATTATTATTATTATTAGTATTATTATTATGTGAAATACTATAAAACTATTATTATTATTATTATTATTATTATTATTATTATTATTATTATTATTATTATTATTATTATTATTATTATCATTATGTGAAATATTATAAAAACTATTATTATTATTAGTATTAGTATTATGTGAAATACTATAAAACTATTATTATTATTATTATTATTATTATTATTATTATTATTATTATTATTATTATTATTATTATATTGAATATAAAACTATTATTATTTTGTTGAATTTAGTATAATTATTTGATAAAGAAGTGAATGCAATTTATTTTTGTTATTATTTTTATATGTTAAATTTGAGATTAAAAAAATTAGTTGATTTTATTTATTTTTAAAAGAAATATTTAAATAAAAAAAATGATAACGAGTGCCCTCAAGACACTGATTAAGAAATTAAAATAGTAAGTTGAATATTATTTAATAGATTAAAAAGATTTTTTTAAATATAAAACTATTATTATTATTATTATTATTATTATTATTATTATTATTATTATTATTATTATTATATTGAATATAAAACTATTATTATTTTGTTGAATTTAGTATAATTATTTGATAAAGAAGTGAATGCAATTTATTTTTGTTATTATTTTTATATGTTAAATTTGAGATTAAAAAATTAGTTGATTTTATTTATTTTTAAAAAAAATATTTAAATAAGAGAAATGATAACGAGTGCCCTCAAAACACTGGTTAAGAAATTAAAATAATAAGTTGAACATTATTTAAGAAATTAAAAAAATATATTTTTTAAATATATGTATATTTAATATATTAAAAATAAAAATAATTAACTTTTTAAAATAATATTATGCGTATTAAATAAACTAAACATAATATATTTTCCTTATTAATAATCTTTAACTAAGTATTTTAAAATTGTGATTATCAATTTAGCGAATATTAGAGAGATATGAATATCATTTTTATTAAATGAGGGATCTATAATTATATTGGATCTATTATATGTACTTATAGGTAGAAGTAAGATTTTTTAGTAAAAGAATAAAAGAAAGAGAATCTTTTTAAATCTTGTTTTATATTTATTTTGGGGTTACCCGACCATAAGGACACTTAAGTACTCCCTAGTAGTTTTAGGTTCACCGACAAAAAAAAATCTCATTTACCATCAACATTTTATAATTTATAAAACTCTTAAATTATGTCTATTGTCAAATTTGAAAATTAACCAAAGTTTTTAATAATGAATTAATATGTGTGGAAAATGATATGATTGATTGTTTGTAAATTTTTTACAAGTGTAGAATTTGTATACCAACTTGTCTGGATACTTTAATAGAGTAATTAATAATAGTATTAGTATTAGATAAATTGCATTTCAAACATTAAAAAAAATCTATATAAATAAATAAAGTTTTTACAAAATAAAAAAATCATTAAAAAAATATTAAAATTTTATAAAATAAATTTTATATTATTATTATTTTAAATTATGCTTTTATCGGTACAATAATAATATTTTAATTTTAGCATATTTTATAATTTAATAATGTTGAGATGATAAAGTTTGACAATTAGTAATATACTATTAAAAATTAATAAAAAAACATGTAATGTTAAATGTTGCATAGTTAAAATTTAGTGTATTAAAAATATCACAAATAGTTAATTTATAACATGTGAAAAATGAGATGAGTTGTGTGAATTAGTTATGAAATTGGAGGGTTAGTTATGAAATGGTGTTGTTATTAGTGGTATTTTAATTGATTAAATAATAGATTAATAATTAATTAATTATTTATTTATAATTGTCATTTATTAAATTAATAAATTAGTTAGAGAAAGAGTTTTGAAAAAAAATTGAGGAAGACCACGTAGGATTATAATTTAGTATGATATTAATTCTATTAGTTAAAATATTGTGATTTTATAAAATTTTATCTTGTTTGACTAATAATCCTTGAGGTCGAGGTTGTAAGTGGTTCATTAGATGTGACATCCACGAAATCTGCATTCAAGACTGAGTTATGGCATAAGATACTTGGTCATGCCAGTGAAAGACACCTGATCGAATTTTCGAAACAAAATCTGCTAGGTGGTGATAAGGTCGAAAAAATGAAGTTTTGTGAACCTTGTATATTTGATAAATCCTGTAGAATGAAGTTTAACAAAGGTAAACAAAGAACACATGGATCCTTTGATTACATTCATGTTAATCTTTGGGGACTTGCAAGAAATCCTTCACACTCAGATGCAATGTGTTTTCTATCCATAGTTGATGATTACTCTAGAAAGTAATGGGTATTCATCCAAAAGACTAAGGATAAAATTTTTGAAAATTTCAAAAATTGAAAAACTCTGGTCGAAAACTAAACTGGCAAGAAGGTCAAGAGGTTGAGGACCAAGAATGATCTTTAATTTTTCAATGAGGTTTTCGACATCTATTGTGTTGTGTATGGTATTGCAAGGCACAAAACTGCTGCAGGGACTCCCCAATAAAATGGTTTGACTGAAAGGTTTAATCGAATAATTCTGGAAAGGGTGAAGTGCATGTTGGTAAGTGCGGGATTGAAGGTGTTTTGGGCAGAAGCTGTTGTGACTGCAGCATAATTGATAAGTAGGTGTCCCTCGACAGCCTTGGGAATGAAGACACTTGAAAAGTATGGTCGGGACATCCACCTAGTCTCGACAGAGTTAGAGTATTTGATTGTGTAGCCTATGCTCATATTAGGCAAGACAAGTTCGAACCTAGAGCTC